AAGAGATTTCACAATAACAAAAAACTTCCCAGAGACTCCCGTGGGAAAAGAAACGCATAAAGAAAAGCGAAGGAGACTGCAAAAAGATCTTTAAAGGCCTCCAAGCAGAAATAAAAATGAACGACATTGCAAAAATATGGTTAAAACTACCAGAGACACTTGTTGAAAAAAGTCGTAGGTTTTTTTGATTATCCCATAGCACTGTTTTTCTTTTTTTAAAAAAGTCATTTCTTTTTTTCCAACACTTTTTGTAACACTTTCTCAATGTTTTGTCTTTCATGACTTGAAAAAAAAATGGTACGGAAAATCTTTTTTAAGGACAAATATTTCTGTAAATTTGTCATGTTATCTTGCCTTGATCATAATAAGGCGCATGAAATGAAATTCTATGCACATCTTTTTGCAAAATTACAGTGCTTTATATCTATATTTGCACCTTTCAAATTTCACGTAATAGTGTCTAGTTCCTGTTTTTATAATGAAACCAACGCTCATCCAGTACTCAACAATGACAGTCTTGTGTCAAACTTAGACTAGTCCAACACTATTTTTGTTGAAACAAGTGAGCCAAATGGTAAATGAAAAATAAATTGTAATCATTTTTAGTGCTTTTCTTTTACTATTTTGAAGATTCGTTCCGTTTCGCGACGTTGGAACACGATATTGCGATGCTGGAAAAAAAAGCCAAGACTTGACGAGATTCAAGACTCTTGGAAATCGGGAACTCTTTAAATGGAATTGCAAGGCGTTTATTTTGAATCTCATCAATCCAGACAGGCTTACAAGAATAATGGCTTTGAATCATATTTTGGGCGTCGAATTACTTGAAGAGATTCCAATGACGGCGAAGAAGATGAATTGCCCAAAGACACGCTTCAATGATACAGGATTAATAATCCGCATCAAAATACCTGCAAAAAGGCTTCCAACAGGTAAGGTACGAGAAACGGAGAAAGTTACGAAAAGTGCCGAATGAAATATGAGGACAGCTAAAAAAATTATTGAATGTTAACAATGCAATTTAGAATATGAAACTAATTTACAGTATGGATATATACGCGGTGTAACAGCAAAATTGTCTAAATCGTGTAAAAGCAAAATTATCCAATTGTTAGATTAAGCTTTGACCCGTTGTATCTTAGAAATGATTAAAGATATCTTACTGGAATGCCCCGAGCTTTGAACAATAAGAATGTATAATGACTCTTCAAGCTTAACAGAAAAATCGTGATGAAATCGATCATAAACGAAAATGACATATTCATCATTAATTAACCATAGCTAATTAGAATAATGTTTATATATATATATATATATATATATATATATATATATATATATATATATATTGATGCATGTTTCATTAAATAATATATACAAGTTTTGTCTATTTATTTTAAGATCCTTTCATATTGTCTGAGAAGCTTCTCATTGAAAGACGAAACGAAATCACCATATTGATAAATGTTTTAATCTTATCTAAGCTATCGGCTAACATAAGCCATTATCAAAGATGACAGTTACATACCAACCAATGGCTTCCCACACTTAATACTTCTCGTTTTCACTCTCGCATTGTCTTGTTTGACATCACGAGTTGCGATGCGATTTTCGCTTCCGCGTCTCGTATACACGAGTTTGCCATTGCTTGGAAATCTTTCATTCAACTAAAACAGACTATCATTATTGTTTTGTCCGTGTATTGTTTGATATATTGCAATGTAATTGTCATCTTTGATGATGGCTTATGTAAGCCGAAAGCTTAGATAGGATTAAATCATGTATCAATATGGTGATTTCGTTTCGTCTTTCAATGATAATGTTATTAAGCTTACCAGACAATATGAAAAGAACTTACTTAAAATAAATAGACAAAACTTGTCTATATTATTTAATGAACACACACACACACACACACACACACACACACACACACACATATATATATATATATATATATATATATATATATATATATGGATTCGAGAATAAAACAGCATTTACCCCCCCCCCCCAGCCAGGATTTTGAATCCGTCCACCAGGAAGACCCAACTGACTAAAAGTTCTGGTTCTGCTATTGCTGAACATTTAATAAATAGAAGGAAATGTGTGGAAATTTTTAGTGGTGACCGATTTATATCTTTATCTAGGTCCCACTCCACATTTCACCTCAAGGTTCTAGAGTCCTTGTATATCAGATCCCGTGAGCCTTCCCTT